CTTTCATTGGGTGTCCGTGATGGCCTAAACAACTCCAATATGCAATTTTCTTCGAGTGCCAACTTTTTGTTGCTGCTCTCAGCCTATTCACTATTCTCCCTAGTCAGGCCGCAAACTTTTCTAATAACCTAAGATACTGGCAAACAGACACGAACGCACATAACCACAGACACATGCGAGGGGCAGGAAACATTGCCGGGGTGCAGAATAATATTTGCTACCAAAAAAATTGCAGAAAATACTTACACAACAGAGAGAGAGAAAGAGAGAGAGAGAGAGAGAGATAGGGCAGAAAGGTCTGCAGTTTGGTTATAAAACAACAGGACCAACAAAGGCCATCGATGCAGAGGCATATCAAATTGACGTGTTATTTCGAAAACTTTCAGGGAGAACGAGCGAGAGAGAAGGCGTTTGAGACAGCTAGAGACAGATAGAGAGAGAGAGAGAGAGAGAGAGTGCATTAAATTTGCAAAAGTAAAGTGCAGGAAAGGGCTAGATAGCGGGAGAGGGAGAGACAGAGAGAGAGAGATAGAGCGTTGAGTACTGTCTAAAGGTGACTCTGCTTTGAGGTTTCATAACAAGATGCTAATTTAATTGCAAGTGTTGTGTGCAGGGAGACATGTATGTACATGTACAAATGCCATTGAAGAGTGTTAGTTAGGCTAGGTGTGATTTTGGCAACCGATTCAAATAATGCAGGGAAACAATCCTGTCTCGTTTGGACAGTACTCACTCTGGCAAGGCAACGGCTTATGTATGTATATACGTGATATATTATCTTGCATTACGGGCAAAGTGAAAAGGCTAGCTGTAAAAGAAGGCACTGAAGAAAAAAGAGCAACTTCAAACACAAATAAAAGAACACATCGAAAAACAGTAAATTCGTTTCCAATGAACAAAAAGGCATTCAGAGGGTGGCGGCCACTTGAGAGCCTACGCATTTCAGTGCGCTTCACTCCCCCTCACCGCACCAATCGAATGCAGTTATGACTATGACTAACTGTAAAAACGACAGAGAGAGTCAGTAAATAGGAGGATTGCTGCGTACATTTATGACCAAGCAGCCATTTTTTAGTGCGCCACCAATAAAAAAGCTATATACATACATAAGTCTGTAAATATGTACATAAATACATACATATTTTAATAAATATAGTAAATATTTTTCGTTGCTGTTTGTTCCCTTTGCATTTGTGGAATACTTGAATTGAAATCGAAGCCATTCAAATAAATGCCAGCGCTTGATTGATGGTGCGGCATGCCAGAGTGGGGATTGTGCAACAACAAAAATACATAAATAAATGCACTAATGAGGAAGGGAAACGATTCGCTGCCATAACTCCGCAGGAACTAGTTTATTTGGATACGGAATTACATACATATTTCACCTTCAGTTCACTCAATTTAAGCGCAATAAAACTGTTTTTTAGCGCATTATTTCAGTTTTGTGCACTATATTTAAGAGCCTGACAACAGCTTTATTGCTAGCGCTGAAAATAATCAATAATAAAATAGTAGGTGAGCATTTAAGTGTAATTTATTTGGCCTATTTCCGCATCCTTACGAATTTCATCCAAAAACAAGTTTATCATGGCCACCCAAAAGTACTTATTTTAATTAACAATCCACATACATGTACTACGGAATGTGTCTTTCCGCACAGCTAAGCTCTTTGCCTTCTCTTTCACCCCCTTTGAAATAACTTTCAATTCCCCCTAATCTGACCAAAGTTGCAAGCAATTTGGGAGAACTAAACTGTGCACATTCTCGCATTGGTGATGCCTAATGGGCGATGATAATGCCACGACAACTGTGTGTGAACAGAACAGGAGCCAGAGTAGAACACACTCGAAACTTCGTCTGGCGAGGCAGGGAGGGAGGTAGGGGGTGAAAGTGAAAGGGGGAAGCACTGTCGAAGCCACCAAACTATGCCAAATTACTGAAAAGCCTTGCAACACCTGCGTTGCGTGGCAATAACTTCTTTGGACTGGCTGCGGGAGGAACCCGGGAAAGTTTGGGCGGGCGAGTTGCCTCAATTAGTTCGAACTTGGACCAGCAGCAATTAGACAACTCAGTCGGGTGCTCCTCTTAATGGCCGGATGCAGAAATGACACATGTCGGAGTTGTCCACTTCGGACAGAGTTTCCTTTCGTTAAGCTGTCAGTATAGTTCTGTCCTGTCCTGTTCTGTCAGACCCCCCCATAGATACGACTAGAAAATCCCACAAGCTGGCGTGTCTATACAAGTACTGCGACATCCTGCAGGAGGAACGAAGGTGTGGAATGATGGTGTGCCCACTCTTTCGATCACTGATCCCGACTGATTGTGTTTTTCCAGGTTATATCCGCGCTGGTGGTGCGGCGGCTTGGCGGGGGCTACCACGCAGCTGTTCACGGCCCCCTTCGACCTGCTGGAGACGCGCATGATGATCATCAAGCAGGACAGAACTCTGGCGCAGACTTTCCGTTTGGCTATCAAGGAACATGGTAAGCCATACAAGTTCTCATCCCTGGACGCTCGCCTGACTGAAATTCTCTCCCCTGTAGGTTTCTTTTCGTTATACGATGGCCTGAGCGCCCAGCTGCTGCGCCAGATGACCTACGTGGCCCTTCGCTTTCATCTCTATGAGACCGGCAAGAGGTACGTGGATGAGTACAACTTTCTGCACAAGGTGGGTGTGGCCAGCGTGGCTGGCGTAGTGGCGGGTTGTGTGGGCATACCCTCGGAGCTGGTGAACATCAGAATGCACGTGGACCGTGCACTACCCGAGAGGAAGCGGCGCAATTACCGGAATGTCTTTCATGGACTATATACAGTGGCCCGAAATGAAGGTTGGACATCGCTCTATCACGGCGGAAGCTACTCATGTGCGCGGGCTGCTCTCATCACCATTGGCCAGAATGCAGTCTACGATCAGGTGAGGGAAACATAATACATCCGCCCATCTAACAGTTATCCAAATTTTCACATTGTTTTCCCAGGCCAAGATGAATTACATGCACTACCTCGAGCTGACGCACGACAGCAAGCTGCTGCACGTGATCAGCTCCGTGTCGGCGGCTCTGCTCTGTGGTCCCCTGGTCCAGCCCATTGAGATCTTGAAAACGCTTCGCATGACCACCAGAGCCCCGGACGGGGGCAGGGCGGACAAGTTCTTTGCCTACATGATGCGCTTTGGGCCGCGTGGACTCTTTCGCGGCACTGTACCCAGTCTAATGCGAATGTTGCCAAATACGACCCTTACATTTGTGCTATTCGAACAGTTTCGCTTGTATTTCGGCTATTACGATGATGTACCCAAGAAGACTTAATAAAGTGGTCGCCCATGCCCGACCTACATATGTTTACCCACTCAAATCCGTGAAGGAAACTCCAATCAACGCCCATCTGAATGTTGATTTAACCTCAAAACACGACCAGCCAGCGAGCCATCGAGAGCACTCGTAAGTCAAACATTTGGTGCACTTCCTGGCCTCTGCCAACGACTTTTGGCCACGTATTTATTTGCAAAACAATCTCGGCCAAAGCAACCTCAAATATACGGTGCCTGCACCTCTATAAAGCATTCAATTCCACATTGATTGCACAAGCAACCTCCCCCTCAACCGACCACCGACAACGGACAACGGACAACGGACAACGGACAACCGACCCCCTACTTGCCACCACTCTCTCACCCAGTGTTGCCCACCGAAAACGGGTCAACGGTGCGTATGCGTATTATTTAATAATGCAAAACGTTGTGGGTCCGTGCACCGTTCCCCGTGTGCCAAACCACCTGCATAAATACAAACTATGCAAATTATTTTAATGGCAAACAAAATGTGCAAGCCTAGCGCCTAATAACCTGCCAACCGACACAGAAAACACCAGAAACACCCGAGCCCCGCCCAAGCCCGTATTCCGTATCTTTCGTATTTACCAGCTGAGGCAAAACCTCATTGTGGATGCAATCGCAAGTCAGTCATAAACTTGGCTGAGAGCATTTATGCAAATAGAGAGTGGGAGGGAGAGCGGGAGAACGGGAGAGCGGGTTGCTTGCCTCTAAGTGCAAGTTTGTGTGTTAGCGTTGGCTTAGAAGTGGGCTCTGGCTGGTGAGTGGAGGTGAGTGCGAGGCACTTTTACTGGCTGTTGTAGGGATGTGCATGATAGAAAATATTCCCAAGAAAATATCCAACACACTTGTAGTGAAACCTCACGTGTTTTTGACTATATTTACATGAATTTCCACGATATATTCCCCACATAAAGCAACTGATTGCCATCGCTAGAGGCCAAGAACCCCCAGCTTAGCTGTCGCTCCATGTACATATATCCCGCAATTCGCCACTAATTTGGTTTCATTGCGTCGCATTATTCTTATTTTTCCGCGTTTCCCCTGGCCCTAAATTGCCTACTTACAAATTCAATTTCCACAATGATTGCAATCACGATTAAAGGATGGGAGTGAAGGACTGGAACTGTGCGAAGCATATGGAGGGGAGCGACACATGGTGTGTACCCACCCACCATCCATCCATCTCTCTCTCAACCATACGTGAAACATTTACCTCGCATACGTGACACGACACTCCACGACAAAACGTTGTTAGACGCAAGCGGATAACTCGAACAAGGGAACTCAAACTCCTCTCCCGCCAACCTACTATCCTCGCTGTCAGGGCATTGTTGCTCATACGCCTAGTTGTCATCAGCCATTCCTCCCCTCCCGGTGCGTCCTTGCCTGCTGGCATCTGAAAACTATGCATGGGACACGTGCTGGCATTTGGCCCTCCAACTTTGGTGGCACACAACTGGGTCCCCAGCAGCGGCAACGAGTTGGACAAACTAATGTTCATTAGTCACGTTGCGAGTGGTAATCAATTTATAATGTGAGCAGTTGCGGTTGATGTTTCTGATAGCAAAGGGATGGCACACCATGAGCCAGCCAGACGGCGGCCTCATCCTAGGTCAATGATCTTTCGGTGCAACTTTAAAGTCTACTTTCCATGATCCTCTCTCTCACTCGCTTTATTAATCCTCCACATAGCCAAAGCGTAGCCTCAGCTGTTCGTAGATAATAAAGAGACTTATGGTGGCCGGACCTTTGCGCAACATGGTCGGAGCCAGGCCGCGAAAAGGGCTGAGAATGCCAAACCTCATCATGTAATGGCAGGCATGGAAAACGCTACGAAACTCCCCGGGTCGGGCATTCATCATCAGGGTCTTCAGCACATCGAAGGGATGCGAGATAATGGACGAGAAGATCGAGGATATCAGGGAGCTGTCAAAGTGCAGCACGAAACCGTCTTCCATATCAAAGGTTTCGCTCAACTCTGTTTTGACCTTCATGGGGAGAGGATTGTGTGTCGTATCTGGGTTTAATTATCCCAAGCTAGCACTCACAATATCGTAGAGCGCTAACTGCCCACAGGTGCCCACCGAGGCCTTGAGTGCCGCCGCTGTTCCACCAGCGTAAAAGGCCCGCCAGCCCTCCTCCCTGGGTATTCGGATGAGGGCATCGAAGACGTGCCTATAGCTGCGGGTAACGGGAAGGGGAATGATATCATTGCTGCTCACAGCGCAAGCAAAATGTTTAGAGTTACTTGCGTCGTTCAGCCTCGCTCTCCTTCATGTCATTCTGCATTCGGACATTGATCAGATCCGTGGGTATGCCGCAGATCGAACCCACCGCACCGGCAAATCCGGCCAGTGCCAGTTTGGCGAAGTGATTGTCACGTATGGGCTCTGCATAGCGGCCGGCTTCATAAATGCCAAAACGGATATTGGTGCAAGTCATCTGCCGCAGGGCAGTTGCCGAGAAGCCATCGTAGAAGCCCATAAAACCTGTCACGAAACCCTTAATCATTAGTCGGAGAAGAAGTAGAAGTGTTCGTCCAGCTAACCTCTCAGTCGAATCACCTTTGCGGCTGTTTCCACCATTCCCTTCTTTGTAACTTGCGTCTGCATGTGGGACTTGACCAGATCTATGGGTGCCACGAAGCAAGCGACGGAGGTGGAGGCTACGCCACCTGACCACCAACGTGCGCGCGGTTCCGATGGCTCAATGCATTCCTCGGATGACTCCAGAACGATGGGATGAACTGTGCGATAGTTGTCACCAAGCTCCTTGTCCGTATGGGGCATTCCTCCAAGAAGACACTCGGTAAATTCCTTAACTTCAGAATACTCGATCACATGTCATGTCATTTGGAATGTTGAGTTGTCTGGCAAAGGGAAGTCTTTTGCTGCTCGCAGTAATTCTCTTTTGGGTAACTCTTTGGGCTCTCTTTGTACTTTATTTTCTCGTTTATTTCCCTACGCTGGTTCCGAACTTTAATGGCTGCTCCACGTTGATAAGGAACGTCCATTCCGCCGAGCACAACTTTTGACTTGAATGCCTTTCTCCTCTCCAACTCCGCCCAACGCCCAATGCGCAACGCCCACCATCCACTGGCCAAAGGCAAGGACAGCGACCAGCTTATAAATCTAAACAAGCTCAGTTGGTGGCCAGTTGCATAAGTTTACAGTTACAACTCCGTTGCACCGCTCCACCCGATCTCCAGGCAGGCAACGCCATGCATTCCAGCAGGTCTCCTTCGACTACATTTTCCTTGAAAAGTTTCTGCACCCCCGCGGTTGGTCGTGCGCATAGTTTTATGCCTCCTTCGTACCGGTGCACGTCCTCGGAGTGGTGGCAATGGGCACCCCGTCCAATCACCTGTGTGGCAAGCACCAACCACCCGCTGGGCGAGCAAAATGGTTTCCCCGTTTCGCAGTGCGACGATGACGATGACATAATAAACGAGGTTACCGCCAGCGAGCGAACTTGTTCCTCCACTTTGTTCTGCCCGAAGTTCTGGCACTGCCCTGCGTTTTTTTGACCCTCCTTCTTCCGGCTGAGTGCGTGGGTATAACGTGTTTAAGTAGATGTTCGTAACAGTCTACATATTTTAATCAGATCTCAGAGATCATAAGAACTTTGCACAACAATTAAACAATTTTTCAAACAGAAGATTTGCGACTTTTCAAAGTTTTAAATCTGTTCACGAGATATCAGCTGGTCTTTACCGCAAGTCTAGCCCCAAAAACCCGTCGGCACTTGGCACTTTTTGTCCGCTCTACGGCTAATGTTGGACATTTGTCGCTGTCCTTGCAGCCCATCCTATTTTGCATACTCGACACGCTCCGTTGGCACTCAGTTCCGCAGTTCCGCATCCCCAACCGCTCCCTCTCCACTTTACATGTATTGACAAGTTTTTGTCACGTTTTTGGTGGCGTTGGAAATTCGAGCAACTTTTTCGCAACACGCACTTATCAAAAGTGCCTTCGACTCTGGTGCTGCCCCTGTGCTGCTGTTGAAAGAGTTAATGAGGCATCTTCAGGCGCAGAGGTGCAGGAGCTTGAGGTGGACACCTGACCAGCTCTGGAGAAGTCAACTTTTCTAATTAAATTTTACAAACATAATGCCACACAACTCACTCTCCCACGGGAGAGAGAGAGCGAAAATTAGGAAGCAGCGCTTCGTGCTGGCATAAAAACAGTTGGCAAGTTGACACTCGCTTATCATTTCCGTTTCCGGCAGTCGACATACGGAAGGGGAGGGGGGGGGGGAGAATGTGGACAGCCGCATGATGTCTGCTGTCCGCTTGCCCGGCACACACCCACACACCCACACACAGGAGCAGAACTTGTGTGTAATGAGAGAGGAGGCGTAAAGGACGTGAAACGTTTTAATTGTCAACGCCCCGAGTGTGGGGAGGGGACTTACGAACGAGTAAGTGCCTCGAGAATGCGATTGCAGCAGCAGACCAGTAACAGCTCTCTGTGTCCAGTAATCATTAATTGGCATTACCATGGATGAGGGAGCTGAGGGAGAAGTGCGGACAGCATGGATTGTGCCACTGACAAACTCTTTTTCCACACACACTCCAACAGCCATTCAATCTCCCACACCCACACATCACTTGATGAATTGTGCTTAATTGCAATTCATTTGATATTGACACTTTCGAGTGGCTTGCCGGACTTTCTCGCTCGCTCTGGCACTCTCTCTGGCGTCCTGCCTGGAATGCCACAATCTGCTGCCTACTCGAAGACGCGCCTGGCCGTGCCAAATTGTCATTGATTAATGTCAACACACACACTGGGACACACTGGGACACACTGGGACACACTGGTCCCCAAATCGAGCATGAGGCGAGCGTTTGGGGGGGCGTGGGGACATGGAGCGGCGAAAGTTTTGTTCTCGAGTGCAAAGCAATTAATTTTGCTGTATGCACTTGAATGGAAATTGAAGAGTGTCGCCACACCAGAGTCGCTTCTACACCCAACTATGCACATTCTCTTATGTACATGTACCCGTAGATATGTACATGGATGTGCACATAAATATATTTATTCAAAGTGTTTTTGGGGCAACTTCAACAAAATGAAAGAGGCAAAAGGAGGTGCCTCCCTCTCTCTCTCTGCACATGCCTCACATGTAATCACAGTTTGGCATGCCAGCTGCATTTAATCCCGCGAATTACATATGATGCTATGGCGTGCCCGGTTTGTTTGACTTGTGCCCCGTACCCATGGCTCTGTACTTTAATAATATAATCCTATATATTTAAGGTTTAAACAGCGGAAGGGAAAGGTGTAAGCAATGTTTAACTTTAACGTTTTAGCGTGGAACACTGCAATGTACGCGAATTTAATTCATATCTGTGGGACTAATTTGTGGAATTTTTTCTTGGCCAGGCCAAAATCAGGTAACCAGCGTTCAAGTAGCCGAACGGACGGTTCATTGTCCCTGTGTCAACTGCCAACAACAGTTGGCTTTGAGCCGTGCCTCTTGTTTGGCACCCGAGGGAACAGAGACCAGGAAGCCGAGGCAGAAGCTAGGATTCGCTGCATTCCAAATGTCAGTCAACCTGCTATTGCCTGCAGCTGCAACGACAACGGCAACGGCAACGGCAGCTGCAGCGGCAGTACCGTACCAGCCAGCATATTTTTACAGCCATTCTTACAGGCATTTTTCTTCATTTCGCTGCAGCGTGGCCGGATGATGAGTTTTTAATGCTGCTTTGTTTTTGTCGTTCGCCTGTCCGCCCCGTTCCTTTTTCCGACTGTTTCCCCTGTCGTGTTTAGGAGACTGGCACGCAGCTTTCCCGGCTGTCAGGCTGTCAGGACGGGCAGCGGCGGCCCAATTTCGAAACTTACTTTTCCCGGTTGTGCCCGGTTCCCCTTCCGATATGCGTGCCAAACTGTTGCCAATGTGTCCGTGTTCCTGTCCGTAAGTTGTCCATGTCCCGTGTATGTTGACGCGAATGCTTCCGCCTTTTGCCAGTTTCCGTCAAAGGAGGCACGGCACTCTTTTTGCGATCAAGTAGAAAGGAGTAGAGGAAGTGGTGCACAATCAATTTCGATTTCGAGTCCACACAGCCCACACACACACAACCCGATTCTGAACCCAACTCTACTTGAAGTCCACCCTGCGGATAGCAGAGCCTGATTTGTCCTGCTTACGTATGCGGGCCGCAGTTCGAGTTGAGGCACAAACTTTTACATCCAGTTAATTTACATTGTAATTTCCCATTGATGTCCTGAGCGGCAACACAAAAAAAGCAAATTGTGGGAAGGGAAAGGCAAACACAAAAATCCCCGACAAAAGCTCAAGGATTTGGCCAATACAAATACATAAAAATTGCAATTTGCATTAATTATGCAAAATTATGCAGATCTGACCTCTCTGCCCTGCCCTGCCCTGGTCCCCTGCTTCCGATATTTATAAATTTTATGCGTCGTTAAATGTTTGGCCACAATTCTCAGTCCGACTCTTGGCGCAGTCCTTTGAGTCCTTTGTTCCGCTCTTTTGCGACCATTCAACTGGAAATTATGCAAAACTTCAAGTCCAAAACTTTTCCTCAAGCTTGTTGTTAATAAAATGTTCGAGGGAAAATCGTTTTTTTCGCGCATTGTTCTCTGTTTGCTTTTATGACCTTTTCCCTAGCTCTGTCCTGCCGGCCATATTTTTACTGGCATTTCATCAAATTAGTCAGGGATTTGAGTAGGCATTCGAGGCCCTTTTCGGAAACGAAATTACAAATTGGCCAACGAAATGAGTTTATCCTTACAGCAAATAATGTAATTTCTCATTTAAATTGTGTGCTCATGAATATTTATCAATAGTTTGCATGAATTATTGGTAAGAAATTAAATATGCTAATCTATTATCGTATTTATATTTATCTATACAAATTAATTAGATTCGCACATTGTAATAATAATTATTCTGTCTGGCCTACGGGCTAAAACAATTAGTTGATAAACATTTTCAGCGAAACGCTAAACATAATTTATAAATCTGTGCAAAAACCGACATAAATCATCTTTAATAAATGTGGAATACATGCTCCCCGTCAGATTGGACATGTTTTGCTTGGATCAATAAGTACAATTACATTACTTTCGCTTGTTCTGCTTTCGTTGAGCCTATTCTGTTCCCTAGTAACCCCAATCTACACAGCGTTGCCCAAGTGGCGCCCACATTAATGTACATCATTTTCTGGATGGCTCCATTGTATTTGTGATTACATCGAGCCACGCAGCTGCGGTTGGGAACAACACACGAAAACGAGTTAGAAATATGTACATATCTCTTTATATGCCACAAGCAACACCGGATGGACTGGCAGGGGTCCCTTTGCTTTGCCATTTTTTGCTCATCTCTCCTCTCACTTCTCTTTTCAATTCAAGCAAAACAAGATGAAGTATGAAATATGATGTGAAATGATGTGATTACAGTTGAAAATGTACAACAAAAAATAACAAAAAGAAACGGGGTAAAGCGTGGAGCGAGACGAGGGTAAGGAGAACCTTTGAGAGGCGAAGACACATGATGCTGTGAAGGTAACCAAAAAGAGAAATGGCACAGAGAAAGTGTGGAGAAAGAATGGGCTGGCTGGTTAGGGGTTTGTGGGATGCCAGTAGCAACAGCAGCAGCAAGAACAAACACGTCAGACCATAAAAATGAGCGCAGCTCGTTTGGGGCAAAAACATTGCCGTACATGTTGGCAGAATTGTGGGCGTGGTCGGACCGCACGAGGGAAGAGTGTAGGTGTAGGTGGAGGTGTTCGTGTTGCCGAGATTGACACTTTGCGAAATGGGTTGAGTAATTCCTATGATGAATTATCTGAAGCAGAACCGAGCACAAGAGCAAGTGCAGAGCAAAGAATGTTAAGGATATATAGTTGCT